ACCCTGATACTGGGAAAGACTGAAGGCAGGAAGAGAAGGGGAGGACAGAGGTTGAGATGGTTGGATGGCATCACCGACTCAATGGACACGAGTCTGAGCAAACTCTGGGAGTTGGTGATAGACAGGGAAGCCTGGCAGGCTGCAGTCCATGGGGTCTCAAAGAGTCGGACACGACTGAGCAACTGAACTGAACTGAACTGAAAATGTATGGTCTTTGAGGATATTGTTTTATTACTGTGCTAAACCAAAAGACATTACAGTACCTCAATTCTATAAATATTTGTGCAGTGTATCTCTTCAGTGAATACTTACTATTTAAGTGCTAGGCTGATTGTGTACTTTTGCTAAAATTATAGATATTACACACTAGTTATTGTAGTGGCAGAATTGCTTCTGAGTTGGAAACAAGTGTGACATGGCTTAGCAATAATATCATAACAATGCTAAAATTATAGTTCTACCACGTAGAGTGATGCAGCAAAGACTATTCTCAATATCAGAGCTGGCACAGAACCCAAGCGGTCGCCAAGTGCGTTGGGCAAATCACAAGCTTTTAGTGATGTGAAATGAGGGAATATGACTTCCCGAGAAGCAGGATGCTTCCTTAACTGTTTCTCTGCAAACTTGGCAGTCACAATGGTGGTTTTCCAGATGTAGGTTAGAGTCCCATATAGACCACCGGGCTCCCTATTAGCACTTGTGTTGTTTCAACTAAAACTGCAGGCTGCACCAGCATAGGAGCTGCATTGTTGTCATAACTAGAAGCAATGTAGGACTATAGACAAGGAGAATAGCCTTACTGTTGGAAAAAGTATGCAGAATTGTGTTATTGTGACTTAAATGATAGTAGAGTGTCATCACTGCACCATATTGTGGAATAATTATACTGTCAAATTTCCTGTAAAGACAACATATGGGATAATACAGGAGTAATGCCAGAGCCAGCATTACCAACAGCATAATTAATATGGCTGGTGGAACTGTTCTTTTCTGGGTCTCAAGAATAAGCACGTGGCAGGAAAAGAAAGTGACAAGGGGAACGTCAACAAGGTGGAAAGTATACAGGGCCTTCCTTCTCCATCACCACCTGTGTGACTTAGCCAAGTCATCTCTGAACCTCACATCTGTCGTATGCACTGTGCCCCTTCTCACAGCATATTTTGCTTTACTACATATAATTATGGGAACATAACTGATCATATACTGTGCTGAATTACATTATGTCAGCCAGTACTCTCCCCTTACAATCTGAGAAGCACTAATGCTTGCACACTATCATGAGTAATGTTCTTTTATGTTTTTAGTTATACACATATAAAGGCATTAGATTATACTCAGGTACTTACAATGTTTTAAACAGTGCTAGGTCGGGTGACATTAAAGTCAAAATCACATGGTCATATTTGTACTATAGAAGCTCCCATATTGACAGTGCTGACACCTTCTAGCATGCATGCCTGTAAGTTGCAAGGAGATTCCTAATTTATCACATTATGAAAGCCTTAAAAATTGGCAGCAGCAATCTTCTAAATCAAGGGGTTGACCAACTATGGTCTAAGTGTCAAATGTGGCCCACTTCCTGTTTTGTACAGCTTTCAGCCTGAGAGTGATCTTTACATTTTTAGATGCTTGAAATTTCTAAAGAATAATAACATTTTGCGACATGTGACAGTATATGAAATTCAGATTTCAGTGTCCTTTAAAGAAAGTTTTAATGGGACACAAGGGGCTTTTGTGCTATGATGGCAGAGTTCAATAGTTGCAACAGACACAGACGACATGGCCCACAAAGTCTAAAATATTCACTCTGGTCCTTTACAGAAAAAACTTCCTGACTCCTGGTTTAAATCATCCTGCATTACCTAAAATGTGTGTATGAGTAAGAAGTACTGTATTTTCAATACACTACAGATGTAGCCAGAGTGCCATATTACTCTGCTGTTTCTAACCACAGTTAACAAAAAATATCACTATAATCTACTATCTTATATTGCCTTTAGTGTGTCCAAATGCTGCTGAATTATAGTATCCTAAACTAGGAAGTACTGCCATCCTGACTTCGTACCCGTCTGCGGGGACTGGGGTCTGCCGCCATGTACTATATAGTACATTGTACTGATGCCTATGGTACATAGTATCATAACGACGAAGGCAGAAGGCCCTGCCTCTCATCAGCTCTAGCAATCTGGGTAACTTGCTTGTCAAGTCCAGTTTCCTCATCAGTGAAATGGGAATAATAACAGGTGTAGGAAATGATGATGGAAATTCTCTGCACAGTAACTTGTAAATAGAAGGCCTCATAAACAGAATCGTGGAGATGGTTTATTCATTCCGCAAACACTTGCTGGGTGTCACTGATCTTGAGAAGTAATTAAAAGGGTGGGGAATTCAGACAGTTGAGCTCCCTCCTACAAGGTGTGGGAGGGGAGACTTGAGAGTGAACGGGGAAATGCCAGCACCCTGTGAGTACCTTGCTCTGAAGGAAACGGCAGGCGGTGAGCGAGGATTCCCTGGTGTTCAGTGGAAGACTGCTGAGGCCTGAAGGACAAGAAGGACCCCATCATCTGAGTATTTTAAGATATGATATACATGGATTGCTACTGAACTGAATCTGTACTTTAGTAGCTTACACTATGTAAGGGATTCCTAGCATTGGTGGAGCAAAGGTACCCAACTTAGATGTCACATGGGAATCCAGAATGTCTGTGGCATCTATTAATTTGTTTTAAACTTCCTCTTGCCTCAAACTGTAACAACCAAAAACTGTTTACAGATATTTCCAAATGTTCTCTAGTGGGCAAAGCTGCCCAGGACTCGTAATTACTGGATTAGGAAACACTTCCTAATGGAAATGATGCCTGCAAAGTTCCTAGTAGGAACTGCAGCTGCTAAGAGCTAGATATGTAAGACAAAGTCACATAAGTAGAAATGCCCCTAACAGGCTCCCCAGCATAGGTGTGCTAATTAGAGGCATCTTCACAAAGCTCCCAAATCACACACACTGCAAATGGCCCTCGAGGGTCTGCTAAATTATTATGACCTCTAATACTGAGAGTAATAAAACTGCGCTCTTCTGCCTATTATTTTAAGATTTTATTAAACTATGCAGACTCTTATAACAAGAGAAATATTATCCTCTGCAGTGCTGCACTTCTCATAATTTGAGTAATAATGCTACAGTTCCTTATTTTACAACTGCTTCATGCTTTGCCTGTCATTACTATCTTATTTTAGTGTCCTATATCATCTTAATCTAATGAATGTATAGCATGTAGAGTTGTCCTGTTGTTATTTTAGGACAGATAAAGGCATCACACAAATATTCTTGTCTATACTGTGATTTATCAGTCTAACTTCAATAACTATTGCAAGTGTTCTACTATATTTTTGTGAATGTTCACATATACGAAAGTTTTCTACGGTTTAGGAAGAATACTGCTACAGTTTAGGAAGAATACTGTTAGCTCCAGGTGACTTCTGAATCCATTAACCTATTATATTGAATGCCAAAGCTTATAATTTTAGTAACTGTGCCATACAATTAGATTTAGCTGTATCATTTTGAAGTTTATCTTCTTAATTATAAGTAGCAAACCAAACATTTTATAAAACTTTCTGTGATAGGATCCCTTTGGAGACAACTGGCATCTATCATCAATACTGTCAATAGAAGTTTTCGAAAACTGGCAATGGCAGGGTAATAGAGGATGCTCTACGGCTCCATGCTCTCTCCAGTAACGCTGACCTTCCCACAAGGTGCTATGCCATGGGGACAGGAACACACCACCACCCTCTGTGCTGGACCTGCAGCTCTGCCTACTACTATCACTTGCTTACTTGCTTAAATGTTTATGGAGGGTCTGCTCTGAGCTGGACACTCTACTCTTCTCTCCTTGGAGACGAGCATACAGCAGTGACAAAATAAAAAACAACAAATAAAATCCTTGCCTTCTTGGTGTTTATATTCACCTGGGGAGAGACAAACAATAAACAACTCCAATGGCGATAACTGCTATGGCAGAATATTGAGCAGGGAAGAGAGAAGGGGTGAAGGGGTGTGGAAGTTACAACTATAACAAGGAGGTCAGTGTGGACTGCCACAAAAGAAGGACCTGAAGAAGGTAAGGGAGGAAAGCATGCAGATATCTGGGAGAAACAGCATCCCATGACGAGGGAATAGCAAGTGCAAAGGCCCTGAGGCAGGTGTCCACTTAGCATGCTTGAAGAGCAGGAAGACTTTGTGGGTTGGAGAAATAGTAATTGAAAGACGCATAACAATGCAGTACTGTTATTCTTAAAAATACTGGAATCATTATAGTATAAAGTAGTATGATAACATCAGTTTTTCTAAAATATCAATAGGATAATGCAGCCTTTTTTTAAAGTGTTTGATTTCTCCACATGACTTTTAGATGTTTGTACTCTAAAGAAAGGCATTCTCATTTCTACCTAGGCACAAAAATTATTCCACTTGGAATGGTTATTTTGGAATCACAATCCAATGGAATCTATTTTCTTTGGTTCACGATCCAGTGTTTTAATGCTTATGGGTCTGAGTAGTTTCACATTCTGTAACATATAAGACAGAATTTCATCTCTTGTTTATGAGGAAAGCTAGAAGCCAAATTCTCAAGCAATAAGGTTGAGTCATTTGTAGTCACCATTCTTTCCTCCTTCAAGTCTTCTCAGAACAAATTCCTAGGGTTTATGACTTCTTTATTTCTATTCCCAAATAGTTCAACACTTAAATATTATGGAAGCTTGTGTTCTCATCCAAATTATGATTTCTATTGAAGTTTTGCTCAACAAAATTCAGGATTCTGTGTAATAAATTCTTCTGATGTAGATGATATTTTGATTTACTTCTGTAAATATTTTTAAAACAGAGTACGGCATCTAAACAATTGTTAAATGTTTGTCTAGAATCTGCTTTAGAGTAAAGTCTCTGCCAACAACCATTCTTTCTTGCTGTCTGGAATGGGTGACTTTTTCATGCACTTTTCAGTCTGTATTCTCAGCAATAAAATGATAACAAAACCCAAACCAGGAGATTATGATTTTAACATACTTTATTTAAAAAGTACACAGTTTTAAATTGGTTTCAATGGGTTTCAAGCAGAAGGGATGCTGCCCACTTGCAGTCCCATTTCTGATGAAGGATGATAATAATGTAGCAAACTCACATTTGCATGACTGGCAAAGTAAAAAGATAACTTTTCTGTCAACATATTTTTAAGAGTTTGTATCACGCACAGTTTAAAATCATGAGATGCTGATGGTTGGACTATATTTCATGTCTCCTATGTCGCACCATAGTTTGGTTCACAGTTTATCCATAATTTAGCATGCCAAGAGAACATCTCCATCAGTGTCACCTTGAGAAGAGCATCAAAAGCAGAGGGAACAGGATAAGGACCATCTTGGCCTGGAGATTCGGTGCACCCCCACACTCCCTCGCATTCTCCTACAGGGAAAGGCAGGGTTGGTTAGAGCAGAGACGGATTCCAAGATGCCTTAAACTTCCCAAGGTATGTGGCGTCCCCAGATTTCTCCCTGCTGTCCAGCATGTGAACAAAATCATGTGGAATCTAGATAGTGTCTGTGAAATGGACTTGTGTACATTTCATCACATTAGTAAAGACAACCTCTGACTTCACTTGTCAATGCATAAAATACTCAAAATGACTTTTTGCATACTACAATGCGGAACACTCAAGAGGTAAAGGACTGTTGGTAGAGATGTCTGTTGTGATTATTTTACAAAAGCAAAATATTGACCTTCTAAGTAAATGATCACATCTCAGATCATTTCAGAGACTTGGCTATGGAAGGTTTTATTAACACGTGACTTCTTTTTAATTGCAGGGAAGGGAGGTTCTGTTTTACAAAAATTAAATCATATTATTTACTCCTTTCTGTACCATGATTTTCATCCACTAATTGACAGACATTTCTCCATGTCCATTATTCTAAGTTTCTTTTAGTCTTTTTTTTTCTCTTATTGATTGTTGCTCATCTTCTCATGTGTTCTCTACTGTTACAAAGAGTGTTGAATGCAAGTCCTTCCCCCAAAATGATATTTGTTCCTGCTCTGGCCTAAGGTAAAGATGTCCAGGAACAAGAGTGCAGAGCTAAAGGATATTTTTGCCTTCAAGGGCTATTGCCAGATAGTTCATTGGTACCTGTATTTTCTGATCATCCAATGACTTGTATCTTTCATGTCCTTGGTTGTTTCTTTTTTTTTAAAGATCTTTATATATATATATATGTAGTTCATTTTTAAAGTCTTTATTGAACTTGGTAGAACATTGCTTCTGTTTCTTAAATTTTGGTTTCTTGACCGTGAATCATGGGGGACCCCAGTTACCCAACCAGGGATTGAACTCGCACCCCCTGCATTGGAAGGCAAAGTCCCAACCACTGGACCTCCAGGGAAGTCTCAGAGCTTGATCTATTTTTAAATGTAGTTTTTGCTTCATCAATTTAAAAAGCTCTTTATACTTTGATTTATAAATGTTTTCAGGTTCTATAAATTGGATACTGACTCTCAGTTATCTTTTTTCATCAAAGGTTATAATTTTTATATAGTTAAATAAATCTGTTTTTCTTCCATATTTTTTTGGTCTTGGATAGGAAGGTCTCTCTAATACCTAGAATTTCTTTATTTCTTTTAAAACTTTCATTGGTATATAATTGATCTACAATGTTGTATTAATTTCTGTTGTACAGCAAAGTGTACTATATATATATATATTCCCATTTCATTTTCCATTATGGTTTATCACAGAATACTGAATAAAGTTCCTTGTGCTATACAGTAGGACCTTGTTGTTTATCCATCTCATTTATAATAGCTTTCACTTGTTAATCTCAAATTTCCAGTCCTTTCCCCCCACCTCTCTATCTGTGAGTTTGTTTCCGTTTTGTAGACATGCTCATTTGTGACATATTTTAGATTCCACATATAAGGGATATCATATGGTATTTGTCTTTCTCTTTCTGATTTAGTTCAGCTAGTATAGTAATCTCTAGGTTCCTCCATGTTGCTTCAAATGGCATTATTTCATTCTTTTGTATATCTGAGTAATATTCCATTATATATATATATATACACACACTACACATCTTTATAGATTCATCTGTTGGTGGACATTTAGATTGTTTCTATGTCTTGCCTACTGTAAACAGTGCTGTTGTGAAGATAGGGGTGCACATATCTTTTCAAATGATATTTCTGTCTGGATACATGCCGAGTTAGTGAGATTGCTGGATCATATGGCAACTCTACTTTTACCTTTATGAGGAACATCCATATTGTTTCCCATAGCGGCTGCACTAATTTACATTCTTATCAACAGTGTAGGAGGGTTCCCTTTTCTCCACATTCCCTTTAGCATTTGTTATTTGTACACCTTTTAATGATGGTCATTCTGACTGGTATAAGGTGGTATCTCATTGTAGTTTTGATTTGCATTTCTCTAATAATTAGTGCTGATGAGTATCTTTTCATGTGCCTGTTGGTCATCTGCATGTCTTTTGGAGAAATGTCTATTTAGGTCATCTGCTCATTTTTCAATTGGGCTGTCTGGCTTTGTTTTGTTTTTTAGTTGTATGAGCTGTTTGTATATTTTGGAAATTAAGCCCTTTCAGTTGCATCATCTGCAAATATTTTCTTCCACCCCTTAGGTTTTCCTTTTGTTTTGTTTATAGTTTTCTTTGCTATATAAAAGCTTATAAGTTTGATTAGGGCCATGTCTTATATTTAAATCTTTAAGGCATTTTGAATTTATTTTTGTGTATGGTGTGAGGATGTGTTCTAACTTCACTGACTTACATGTGACTGTCCAGCTTTCCCAACACCACTTGTTGAAGAGGTTATCTTTTTCCCATTGTGTATTCTTGCCTCCTTTGTTGAAGATTAATTGACATAGGCATGTGGGTTTATTTCTCGGCTTTCTATCCTGTTCCATTATCCATGTCTGTTTTTGCGGCAACACCATGCTGTTTTGATTACTGTAGCTTTGAGGCACTGTCTTAAACCTGGGATGGTTATGCCTTCTGCTTTGTTCTTTTTTCTTAGAACAGCTTTGGTGATCCTGAGTCTTTTATGGTAACTTATAAACTTTAAGATTATTTGTTCTAGCTCTGTGAAGAATGTTGTGGGTATTTTGATAGGGATTGTATTAAATCTGTAGACTGATTTGTGTACTACGTCCATTTTAATAATGCTAATTCTTCCAATCCAGAAGTATGGGTCCAATCCCTATAATTTCTTATGAGACCATCATTTACCATTTAAGTCAATTCTATGTTCTCTCATTTGAACTGAATTTCTGTCATACATAAGAGTATCTGTTCTGTTCCACTGACTTCATCCTACTGGATCTAGAACCTTAAAGAAGAAAACTGTTTTTTTTTTTTTTTTTTGTCGTTGTTGCTCTTTTGTTTTTTAGTGTTTATCATGTACCCAGTTTCCAAAGCAATTTGTCTTATTAACTTTAAAAGATTTTTACTCTTGTGAATTTAGTGCTAAGTATGCAGTTCTGGGGAGGAGGAAACAGCGACCCACTCCAGTATTCTTGCCTGGGGAATCCTGTGGACAGAGGAGACTGGTGGGCTGCTGTCTGTGGGGTCGCACAGAGTCGGACATGACTGAAGCGACTTAGCAGCAGCATGCAGTTCTGGTTTCAAATGAAGTGGCTTAATTGTTTTGGGACAATTGTTCATATTTCCATTTTACATAGACCTTTTATTAGAGGTGATCATTGGACTTTATTAAAAGCCTTTACAGCATATGTTGTTATTGAACTCTCCCTTGAACACAGAAGCAAACATTCTCAATAAATTCCAAATTCTTCTTAGTACTACACTGACTTTAAAATATTTTCTAGTATTTGGATAGTTTAAATAACATTAAAATTATTTTCTATTTACAGGTGACATTAACACTCAGTGGGCTATGGTGGCATTTTACAAAAAATGAATATCTTCTCTGTATCCCTACAGTAATTGGTCTAGGCAAGTTTTCTATTTTTCAAGATGGAGGTGGAGTATTTTTAAATTGTAACATTTTTGCTATATTTAAATTTTTTTGTCCTTTGAAGGACATAATTCACCTACATCTATGATAAGTTCACTTTTCTTAGTACAAGCTTAATTTTTTCTCTGATCATCACTTTTGGTGTAAATGTAGTGCCTTTATAGTTGTGACCTCATGTGTTATAGGGGGTTTAAAGGTTATCCCACATTTAGATATTGTGACTCTTAATCTGACATTAGTATTGAGACTTTTCCTTTACATGAATTTTTTATAAGTAAAAGGCTGTCTAAAAGTAAGCAAGGAAAAATAAATAAATAAAAGTAAGCAAGGGAAAATAATTTTAACTACATGTTAAAATAAGTAAAACAAGATGGTTAGAGCCACTTTATGTGTAATAGTAGAAAATGGTAAAACTATAGCACATTTGTAAAAGGGAAGATAGTAAAGAGGCTTTTAAAAAATACATGTGAATAGAATAAGAAAAGACTATTAAGTATAGACTAAATAAGAAGGCATTGAGAGGCCGAACGTAGAGTACCATTAGCTTTCCTGTATATTATTTCTTGGTTTGCCTGAAAGGGATGACTTTCTCAAGAGTAAACTGTTGAGCTATAGTTCTCTGATGGCTGTGAGATCCTCATGGAGAATCTGATGGGAAAAGAGTAGGAGGGGGTTTCAGATTACCTCAGGATGGAAGCCATGACAAGATTCCGGACGCCTTCTGATCTTCTGGGCCTTTAAACGTTCACACTTAAGGGATTCATTATGTTGACTGTAGTTAAGGCATATTTCCAAGATGCTCCTTTTCCTTATTCTGCATTTCAGACGTCAAAACCTGGCACTTAGCTCCCTTAACAACTTCTCTCTAACAGTGGAAAGAACATCATCTCTCCGTCTCTAAGATTTTTCCCCTAAGTCTCCCCCTTACCAGCTTCATTAGTAGCGGATAGACTGTCACACAAAAGGATATACCTGATTTCAATGGGCGCCATGGTGATGGGGGCCACAGACTCACAGAGGCAGCTGCTGTCCACCACCACCATGAACAGATTGCTGCTCGGAATCTGCTGAATGACAAAGGACCTGTTGGAACAAGAGGCAGAGAGATGGTGAGTGGTCATTTACCATCCTGCAAGTTAACAGCCATGAGGAAAACTTCCTCCAGAGTGGGATAACTGCTATAGTATTTTGGAAAACAAGTTTCAGAGACTGGTTTACCACTCAAGTCGCCTCTTCCCATGAGGCTCTTCATTTCAAAGCTGAAGCTTCACTCAGAAGACAATAGCTATGTCCATACATAGCTCATACAACTCATCTCAGAAAGACTAGACTTTTATGTGCATGAAGCAGGAGAGTCAGAGTTGGCTAAATCACCTCAGTTTCTAAGCTCTAAGAGGTTAGACTTTTCCAAGACTCATTTCTTCTCCTAGGGCTTAAACACCATTGCAAGTTGCATTTGATGTTCTTCTGAGTATATTTTTCTCCCCTCCTAACCTCAAGGATAGACTGAAGCCATGTCATAGTAATCATAAAAGAACATGAGCTTCCTAGACCTTTCCCTGAATCACTTTGCACAATGTCTGCCCATAACAGAGGTATATTGTTTAGAATGAAATCAATGCTAGTTGGTTAAGGAGCTCCAATATTCTCAGAGACCAAGTTATGCTGGCACTAAAGCCATATGGCTAGTCATGATTTTGGTGTTCTCGCAGGAGAAGATGAGTGCACATACTTCGACTCTGCCATCTTGGGCTTTCCTTCCTCACTTTTTAAAAAAAAAAAGTCTTCTGGGTCAATCTGTACAGTTAGTCCAACATAAGTAAATTTAATGATACCTCTTTCTCATCTGACCTACTACACTGAAATGACAAAGTAATGTCATCATAATAATACTCCTTGAACCAGAAATATCGGATCGTTGGAGGAACAAGTTGGAGAACAAATCCCATATTCTTCTAGAGCAAATAGATTAACTGAATATTTAGTCCCAAGTCCAGAATCCTGTCACATAAATTTTTCATGATATTTTTACCAAATTCAGTTTAGTCAGTTGAACTAGACTATAATCTTAAAAAAAATGGCCAATTTCTCTATAAGTTATCTTTATTCATCTTTCTCTCAATAAATACATTCTATTCTTTAAAGTATATATAGTATAATAAGATATGACATGAATTTTTATGATCATGATGTACAAGCTGATAGAAATACCAAAAGTATTTGATGGACACATGACTTATTTATTAATAAAATTGACAGCAAAAACTTTTCAGACCTAAGTAATACAGAATATGCTATTTTCAAATGCAGGGAACTGCAACACATTCCAAAGAGCAGAAAGCATCAATTACATATTCTTTTACAGTTGGATAAAATTAGAAATTAATAGCAAAAAAATATAAACAGTGGAAATTAATAGTCAAAAATACATGAATTTGAGAACAGCCCAGGCTCAAATCTGTGCAGTATGACCTTAAATATTTTTTATTGGGAAAAAAATCTGCAAATAAATGAACTGTGTTTTTGAAACAAGAAGCTGGAAAAGTAAGAACATAAACCTGTACCTGTATCCTACCCTCAGTCCCCCTGGCGGTATACCAGGACTAAGGACTAAAGCCCCTCTCCAAAGTCCAGCCCTCAGGCTCCTGCAAAGATGTGACTGATGGGGGAGGAGAGAGGTGATCATTGCATGTATAAGTAGTTCCTCCCGTCTTTCTAGCCATTCTCGTCAGTTTAACTTACCTTTAGCTACTACCCTGTTTCCCTGGCCTCATTTATAATACAACTCCTAAGAAAAGGTACTAACAATTGCTCTCTCTTGCTCTCTCTCCCTTTTTTCTCATTCCCTCTCTTTCAGTTTCTCTACTCCTTCACTTCTTTCCTTTCACAAATCCACTCCAATAAGGTTGTTGTCCTTACCACACTCTTGAATTGGTTCTTATCAAGGACAGCAAATAAACAACCTCATTGCCTTTCTTCTCAAATCTCTTTGCCTCCACTTCCTCCTTACCTGCTCACTGTCTGCCCCCTGAAAGCAAACTGTGGTTTCCATGGGAAAAAGTTGCCTGTGTCTGCCCATGGTCATCTTTTATCCCCAGCACCTAGAGTTATGACTGTGACAGAGCAGATGCTCAGTAAATATTCGCTGAGCCAATGACAGAATGAATTTATAAAGATAAAAGAAGAAGAAAATGCAAGTAAAAATGTGAAGATAACTACAAGAATCAAACTCAGACTTAAAAGAACAAGGACATAAGTCCACTTCTGACACTCCTAATCAAGAAAAAGAAGTTACAAAGTTACATTAAAACCCAAAAGAGACAGAGGTATTGTAAACTTTTTAAGTGAGTATTATGTATATCATTACAAATAATTTGAAAACTTAGAGCAAACACAAGTTGGAGGATAATGTATAAATTATCAACATTTGGCCAGGCTATAGAAACACAAGCAAACCAGTTGCATGAAAAAAATCTGAAATGCTCATTGAGAATCTACCCACAAATGAAAACTACCAAATCACCCAAAGAACAGATATCACTGTGTTTGTAGAAAATCCATATGAACCCACTGACCAACTATTAGAACACAAAAAAGAACCAAGCAAGTTAACCAGTTACATAATCAGCATATAAAACCACAATCTTTCCTTGACACTGGCAATAACCAATGAAAAAATATTTATGAAATAAAGAACCATTGATAGTATCAATAATTACTATGAAATGCCCAAGAATAAATCTAGTAAAAGATGTTTCTTTATGAAGAAAATGATTAAACTTTACTAAACATAAAAAACCCCTAATTCCACAGTGGTAGTGAAAGGGAACAGTTATATATTAAAGGTGTCATTCTCCTTCAAGTAATCGTTTAATTCAAAGTAATCTCAATAAAATCCCAACAGGAATTTTGATGGAATTTGAGGTGATGATCTTAAGATTCCATATAAATATAGTCTGGACAACTGTATAAAATTGAGTTTATAAGAAAAAAGAGAGAAGAAGGAAATTGTTTGTCCCTAATTAGTATTAAAACCCATGAGATAATTTACAGAAGAGGAAACCCAGATGGACAACTGATATGTAAAAGGGGTCCAATCTCACTAAAATTAAGTATGTGTAAATTAAAATGAAATCGAAATAATCAAACTCATTTTTTACCATCAGAACGGCAAAACTTTATGGTAATATCAAATGACTGAGAGTTTGAAGAAGTGACTGTTATTTTACACTGTTGGTGGGAAAGTAAACTTTTATAGGCAATATATGAATAATTTGTTACTGTTTCACTGAAAATGATTTAGATCCTACTTTTCCAGTAGTTTTACTTCTCAGTAAGAGAAATTATTGTTCAAAAACCCAAGACGACATATAAAGATGCTCTTGGTAACCTTGTTCATGGAGAGGAGGAAAAAACAAAATCCACCTGAAAGTCCATCAGTAGAAGAATGATTAAATAAGCAACAGCGTATCTGTTCTATGGTTTACTTGGCAACAGATGAAAGGGTAAAAGATGTCTATTTAGTATTATGAAAGATTATCCAAAACATAGTAAGTGGGAAAATAATGTTGAAAAACTATACATAAATATTTTCAGGAATATTTCAAAATACTCATCTAACAGCATTTGATTCTGCTACAGAGAATAGGAAAAATAAATAGGATGGATAAGACTTATCATTTCCATTAGGAATAACATGAGATAACATAGAAGGAATAAATGTACAAAACAAGTGGAACACATGTGGGTAGAACACAAAAAAGAACAGAACACATGAGGTATCTTTCTAGTGATAAAAGGAATGGAAGGACCAAGTGAAATTAAATATTTTTTAAGGCACAAATCATGTCATCTCCAGACTGACAGCTATCATCTATGTTCTCCTTCAAGTCAACCGACTGGCAACTCCCTTTCTCTACCTGAGACACACAGATAGAAGCCATGGCTGCTCAACAGATTAGGGGCAGTTTAAAAACTTGACCTTTCGTCTCTCCGAAAAGCAAGCATGTATTGGCTCCATGCACGTTCTGCCTACTGAATCCCCTTCCCTATCCTCAAGTCTGATCCTCCTATCATATCATCAGTGGGAGAGAGAGCAAGGGAGGAGGAGATGGCAGGGAGAGAACAGGATAGCAGTGGTGGGAAAGAGGAGAAGCCTGGGAGTAATTGTCCACGGAAACAAATGCAATCTGTTACGCTAGAGTTCTCCATAAGGAGAATGTGTAACAGGTATTTTTCAAACATTTATAAAATGGAATATTGTGCTGGGAGCAAAGAGTATTGATTTTTTTATTTCACAAAAGAGAAAACTGGGACCCAGAGAGCACAAGTAAGCTTCTACAGAAGCTACATGAGAAAAAGACGTGATTGTGCCCATTTCAAAGAAGGGGAAACAATAGATTAAGTGACTTCCTGGAGAAACACAGCAGAGCTGCACACCCCTGGAGCCCAGGCCTGTTGGGGGACTGCAATCATAGGCAACCAGCTCTCTGTCTCATACCTGAATTACTAGTGCTCAAGCCTCTGGAGGGCAGACCCAGACTCAATAGGGATGCTTAATGATGGCCAGTATAGGACATTATTCCTTTTAACACATGACCCCGTAAGGTGAAGACTCCCCAAGTGTGCTCATGAAGCTCCACAGAACCCCCCACTTATACCTCGAGTCCTAGGAGATGAAAATCTTTGCAGGCAGCTATTACTGCAGTGGAGGAAAACAACCCCCTGTGAAGGATTTGCCAGCGGAAAGATTAACTGCTTTTCCATATTTTAAAGACTTACTGTCTGCTTATTAACATGGTTCTTTGGAGGGGTCTGGCCAATGTTAGCTGTACATTTATGTGCACAATGTGTATTTATGGCCCAGGGTGCAGGGTTGAACTTCATAAAACACACCTCCACCCAGCTGGGCCCAGCAGTCAGACTGACATCACTGTGCAGAGGAACTGTGGCCTGGGGGGTTGGCCTGTGGGCCAGAAAAGGCGGAAGGGAAATGCCTCAACGGAGAACCACAGTGGTCGTTTCCAAGCAGAGATAGGTCAAAATGCGTGAAATAAATTAGGTCCTCAAGGGAAACAGAGTAG